ACATGTTGCGCTTGTCTCTGCGTAATATGCAATATCACACTTATTGCTATATATATATCTGTATTGCTAATATCTGCTGTTTTCTTTTTCATTCACTCTGTGGTTCTGCATTGATGGGCATTTACGGAGCTGGTTTCTCTGCTCTCTCTGCAGTTCTGCAGGGTGTGCTGCTATCAGCATTATGTGTCCAGTATATCTTTTTCAAATATAATGGCTTAGTTTCTTCTAGTTAGATTCAGTAGGTGTGCCATTCGAGGATCAAATGGTAGTTCTATAGCACCCGGATTCTTTCCCAATCTCATTACTCTTTTCACGCAAAGTGGATTTGTACTATTTTTGCATTCCCACTAGCGAATGCCGAAAAAGTGTTTGCTTCTTTGCCCCATCACGCCGCCTAATTTTTTATTACAGTTATGACCCATTCTTAGACTGTGGCCACTCCACACACTGTGGTTTCATTGAGAATTTCCTGATCATTAGCAGTGATGTTGGGGCATTTTTAAATATGTTTCTTGAGTCTCTTTAAATCTTTAACTTGTTATTATTACTGCGTATCACCAGGCCCAGTTTTGGTGATCAGGTTGTTGTTTTTAGGTGGCTCTACAGTTTGTTTGAGTTCCAACACAGTTCATGGATGTTAGTTCCAACATTGGAGTGTGCGTGGTTTGTGAATGTTTCTCCACCTCCTGTGTCACAGGGTTGGCTCTGTTGCACTTTGATTGTTTGTTTTGCTGTGTATGGTTTTTTTTAATTAAGTCCCATCTTTATCTTTGTTTTTTTATTGCATTTATTTTGGTTCTTGGTCATGAACTCTTGCTATGTCTCTAGGAACGCTTTAGAGGTAAGAAATTTTTGGTGTCAGGTCTCAGTTGGAAGTCTTTTTAATCTATCTTGAGTTGATTTTATAATATCACATATTATATATATCACATAATATATATAATATCACATTTTCTTCATTCACTCGTTCATTGATGGGCATTTAGACTGGTTTCATATCTCTGCAATTGCGAATTGTGCTGCTATAAACATGCATGTGCAAGTATCTTTTTCATATAATGGCTTATTTCTTCTGGGTAATTCCAGTAGTGGAATTGCTGGATCAAATGGTAGTTCTACTTTTAGTTCTTTAAGAAATCTCCGTACTCTTTTCCATAGTGGTTGTACTATTTTACATTCCCACTAGCAGTGAAAAAGTATTCCTTCTTCACCACATCCACGCCTATAATTTTTTTATTTTCAGTTATGACCATTCTTACAAGACTGTAGTACCACACTGTGGTTTTCATTTGAATTTCCCTGATCATTAGTGATGTTGAGCATTTTTAAATATGTTTCTTGGTCATTTGTAAATCTTCTTTTGAGAATTGTCTATTCATGTCCTGAGCCCAGTTTTGATGGGATTATTTGTTTTTTACATTCTGATTTGTTTGAGTTCCTTGCAGATTCTGGATATTAGTTCTTTGTTGGATGCATAGTTTGTGAATATCTTCTCCCACTCTGTGGGTTGTCTGTTTGCTGATTATTTGTTTTGCTGTGCAGAAGTTTTTTTTTTTTAATTAAGTCCCATCTCTTTATCTTTGTTTTTGTTGCATTTGCTTTTGGGTTCTTGGTCATGAACTCTTTGCCTAAGCCAATGTCTAGAAGACCTTTTCCAAATTATCTTCCAGAAATTTTTTGGTGTCAGGTCTCAGATTCAAGTCTTTAATCCATCTTGAGTTGATTTTTGTACAAGGTGAGAGATGAGGATCCTTCTACATGTGGTTTGTCAATTTGTTGAATTGAGTGTCCTTTCCCCACTTTATGTTTTTGTTTGCTTTGTCAAAGATCAGTTGGCTGTAAGTATTTGGCTTTATTTCTGGGTTCTCTATTCTGTTCCCATGGTCTATGGGCCTGTTTTTTACCAATGCCATGCTGTTTTTGTTTTTTGTTGTTGTTTGGTTGGTTGGTTTGTTTTGAGGCAAAGTCTCACTCTGTCACCCAGGCTGGAGTGCAGTGGCATGATCTCGGTTCACTGCAACTTCCTTCCCTGGGTTCAAACAATTCTTCCACCTCAACCTCCCAAGTAGCTGGGATTACAGGCACGTGCCACCGTGCCCAGCTAATTTTTGTATTTTTAGTAGAGACTGGGTTTCACCATGTTGGCCAGGCTGGTCTTGAACGCCTGACCTCAAGTGATCCACCTGCCTCAGCTTCCCAAAGTGCTGGGACTATAGGCGTGAGCCACCGCACACTGCCTACCAAGCTGTTTTGGTAACTATAGCCTTGTAGTAGAGTTTGAAGTCAGGTAATGTGATGCCTCCAGATTTGTTCTTTTTGCTTAGTCTTGATTTGGCTATGTGGGCTCTTTTTTGGTTCCATATGAATTTTAGGATTGTCTAAAGGCATTTTGATGGGAATTGCATTGAACTCATAGATTGCTTTTGGCAGTATGGTCATTTTCACAATATTAATTTTACCCATCCATGAGCATGGAATGTGTTTCCATTTGCTTGTGTCATCTATGATTTCCTTCAGCGGTGTTTTGCAGTTTTACTTGCAGAGATCTTTCCTTGGTTAGGTGTATTCCTAGATACTTTGTTTTTGAAGCTGTTTTAAAAGGGGTTGAGTTCGGCCAGGTGTGGTGGCTCACACTTGTAATCCCAGCACTATGGGAGGCTGAGGCAGGCGGATCACAAGGTCAGGAGTTTGAGACCAGCCTGGCCAATATGGTGAAACCCCATCTGGTGAAACCCCATCTCTACTAAAAATACAAAAAAATTAGCTGGGTGTGGTGGTGGGCGCCTGTAGTCCCAGCTACTCAGGAGGGTGAGGCAGGAAAATAGCTTGAACTTGGGAAGCAGAGGTTGCAGTGAGCCAAGATCGCGCCACTGCACTCCAGCCTGGGTGACAGAGCAAGACTCTGTTTCAAAAAAAAAAAAAAAAAAAAACAGAAGCAGGGGTTGAGTTCTTGATTTGATTCTCAGCTTGGTTGCTGTTAGTGTGTAGCAGTGCTACTGATTCGTGTACATTGATTTTGTAACCTGGCACTTTATTGAATTTATCAAATCTAGGAGTCTAGGTGGTTTTGGTGCCAAATTCTACCAAATCTTTAAAGAGAAACTAACACCAATTCTCCTCAAACTATTTCAAAAAATTCAAGAGGAAAGAATTCTCCCTAGCTCATTCTGTGAGACCAGCACTACCTGATACCAAAACTAGACAAGGACACAACAAAAAAGAAAACTACAGGCCAATATTTCTGAGGAATATAGATGCAAAAATTCTCAACAAAATATTAGCAAACTGAATCCTATAAGACATCAAAAGATCATACACCATGATCAAGTAAGATTCATCCCAGGGATCCAAGAATGCTTCAACATATGCAAATCATTAAACATGATACATTACATCAACAAAATGAAGGACAAAAATCTTATGATCATCTCAAAAGATGCAGAAAAATAATTTGATAAAATTCAACTTCCCTTCTTGATAAAAACTCTCAACAAACTAAAACCTCTCAACAAACCAATCATAGAAGGAATGTACCACAAAACAATAAAGGCCATATGTGACAAATTCATGCTAATATCATATTGAATGGTGGAAAGCTGAAAGTTTTTTCTCTAAGAACTGCGACAAGATAAGGATGCCCACTTTCACCAGGTGGTTTCAAATATCACATGTTCTCACTTATATGTGAGGGCTAAACACTTGATCTTGAGAAGGTAGAAAGTAGAAGATAGATACCAGAGGCTGGGAACAGAATGTGGGTGGGAGAAAGGATGAAGAGACGTTGGTTAATGGCTACAAAAATACAGTCAGATAGAAGATATAAGTCCTAATGTTCAACAGCAGAGTAGGGTGACTATAGTTGCAACATATACTTCAAAGTAGCTAGAAAAGAGTACTTGAATTGTTCCCAATGCAGAGATAATACTGAAGGTGATACATAACCCAAATACCCTAACTTTATCATTATGCATTCTATGCATACAACAAAATATCATATTTATACCATAAATATGTAAAGTATCATGTATCAATAAAAATAATTTTTAAAATGCATTTTTATAAAAAAAACTCTTCTGTCTTTGAATCTGCTCTTCAACTTTGACTTCAACCTCTGCCTTTATCTGAGTACCTACTTCCACGCCCATTTCTGGCATTACTGAACATCTGCATGACCAATGATCATATTATCTTAAAGGTTCCTTGAGAGCCAATAACCTAACAACATCAATAATACAAACGTGTGTCATTCAGATGCATTGCTAACCCTCATGTAAGCATTCTGTGTAAAGAGTGAATTCTGCAAGTGCAGTAAATTCTGCAAATACAATAAAAGGTTAGCTTAGCTAGGCCTGGTGTGTTCAAACCCTGCACATTCCAAAGAAAGGACTGGCCTTTGATCAGCTCCTGGGAGATAACCTCTGAGCTTTCTGGAATAGCTTTCTTAATGAATGTCTTTGTAAACCCAAGACCTTGAGCCACAACAGATAATTTATGCTAACAATGTGATTTATGTTGAATTCATGTTTCTATTTACCTGTTTCTGGGCCACAATGCATTAGTTTGACCTCTGGGGGAGCTGACAACTGAGTAGCTAAGGTCAGTCAAGTGGATGTTCCACACCAATGTAACTGACCCCCAGGAAAACTCTGGACAACAAAGCTCCAATGAGCTAAGCTGGTTGGCAGTACTTCAAAAATGATGTCACACATTAGACTTAAAAGATCATCATGGTGGATGGGAGGCAGGACTAGCTTGCAGCATGCGGAGGCTTGCATTGTGAATTTTAGCTCCAGAATGACTGCAGGAATAAATCAGGAAACCTGAGAGGATCCCTAAATCATCCGAAGGAAGCAGACTGTTCCTGCAGGACCTGGGAGACACCCCAAATACTGTGACTGCCCAAACTGCAGAAGTGAGAAAGGGAGATCCTCCACCCCAGAACACACACCCCTACTGGGGAAACTGAAGGTCTAGTTTGCAGGAGAAGATTCCAACCTTACCTGGAGCTGAGTCAATTTAGAGAGCCGAGCGAAGCACAAGGGTAGAGGAAGCAGTGGGAGAGGCCCTGGAAGTTCACTGGGTCCGGAAGCAGGCTATTCCTGTCTGGCATCACAGCGATCCTTTGGGAGGGAAGCCAGAGGTGCGGGGAAAATGCCACAGGGAGACAGAAACCTCCAGGTGAACTTTGTAACAATTTGAAACACTTGAGAAGCTTCCTGGCCAGAACTCAGGGGAGAGCACGAATCTGGCCGGCAGATTCCACAGTTGGAGGAAGAACTAAAGTCCTATTCTTTTGTAGCTGGGAGGTAGGTAGTCTGGGGTAGGTCCTCAGCCCTGCTTGCCCACTGCCTGGAAACAGAGGCAGTGCTGTTAGGTGGGGCACGGTGGGAGTGAGACCAGCCCTACAGATTGCATGGAAGATGGGTGAGGCCTGTGACTGCCAGCTTTCTCCAACTTCCCTGACAACCTGCATGACTCAGCAGAAGCAGCCTTAATCCTCCTAGGTACAAAATTCCATTCAACTGGTAACCTCACCTCCATCCCCCACAGCAGCCACAGCTAACCTGCCCAAGGAGTCTGAGCTCAGACACACCTAGCCCTGCCCCCACCTGATGGTCCTTCCCTATTCACCCAGGTATCTGAACACAAAGGGCATATACTTTTGGGAGTTCTAGGGCCCTGCCCACTACTGGTTCCTCTCCATACTACCACCACTGATGCTCTCTGGAAAGCACCACCTCCTGGCAGGAGGCCAACTAGCACCAAAATAGAGCATTAAACCATGAAAACTAAGAACCCTCACAGAGTCCATTTCACCCACCTGCCGCCTCCACCAGAAAAGGTGCTTATATTCATGGGATGTGACCCATAGGTCACATCACAGGAGTCTGTGCAAACAACCCCCAGTACCAGCTTGGAGCCTGATAGATTTGCTGGGTGGCTAGACCCAGAAGAGAGATAACCATCACTACAGCTCACCTCTCAGGAAGCCACATCCATAGGAAAAGGGGAGAGTACTACATCAAGGGAACACCCCGTGGGACAAAACAATCTGAATAACAGACTTCAGCCCTAGACCTTCCCTCTGACAGAGCCTACCCAAATGAGAAGGAACCAGAAGACCAACCCTGGTAATATGACAAAACAAGGCTCCTTTACACCCCTAAAAAATCACACTACCTCACCAGCAATGGAGCCAAACCAAGAAGAAATCTCAATTTACCTGAAAAAGAATTCAAGAGGTTAGTTATTAAGCTAATCAGGGAGGCAACAGAGAAAGGTAAAACCCAATGCAAGGAAATTTAAAAAAAAAATACAAGAAGTGAAGTGAGAAATATTCAAGGAAATTAGATAGCATAAATAAAAAAACAAAACTGCAGGAAACACTGGACACATAGAAATGCAAAATGCTCTGGAGAGTCTCAGCAATAGGTCAAACAAGTAGAAGAAAGAAATTCAGAGCTCGAAGGCAAGGTATTTGAATTAACTCAATTCAACAAAGACAAAGAAAAAAGAATAAGAAAACATAAACAAAGCCTCCAGGAAGTCTGGAATTATGTTGAATGACTGAACCTAAGAATAATTGGCATTGCTGAGGAAGAAGAGAACTCTAAAGTTTGGAAAACATTTGAAGGAACTATCAAGGAAAACTTCCCCAGCCTTGCCAGAGACCTAGACATCCAAATACAAGAAGTACAAAGAACACCTGGGACACTCATCACAAAAAGATCATCACCTAGGCACACTGTCATCAGGTTATCCAAAGTTAAGACAAAGGAAAGAATCTTAAGAGCTGTGAGACAAAAGTACCAGGTAACCTATAAAGGAAAACCTATCAGATCAACAGCAGATTTCTCAGCAGAAACCCTACAAGCTAGAAGGGATTGGGGCCCTATTTTCAGCCTCCTCAAACAAAACAATTATCAGCCAATAATTTTTTATCCAGTGAAACTAAACATTTATATATGAAGGAAAAATACAGTCTTTTCCAGAAAAACAAATGCTGAGAGAATTTGCCACTACTAAGCCACCACTACAAGAACTGCTAAAAGGAGCTCTAAATCTTGAGACAAATCCTGGAAATACATCAAAACAGAACCTTTTTAAAGCATACATCTCACAAGACCTATAAAACAAAAACACAAGTTAAAAAGCAAAAACAAAAAAACCAAGGTACACAGGCAAGAAATCGTAAGATGAATGGAACGGTACCTCACATATCAATACTAACATTGAATGTAAATGGCCTAAATGCCCCACTTAAAAGATACAGAACTGCAGAATGAATAAGAATTCACCAGCCAACTATCTGCTGCCTTCAAGAGACTCATCTAACACGCAAGGACTCATATAAACTTAAAGGGGTGAAAAGAGCATTTCATACAAATGGACACCAAAAGCGAGCAGGAGTAGCTATTATTATATCAGACAAAACAAACTTTAAAGCAACAGCAGTTAAAAAAAAACAAAGGGGACATTATATAATGGTAAAAGGTCTTGTCCAACAGGAAAATATCACAATCCTAAACAATTACTGATAGACCTAAGAAATGAAAAAGACAGCAACACAATAATAGTGGGGGACTTCATCAATACTCCACTGACAGCAATAGACAGTTCATCAAGACAGAAAGTCAACAAAGAAATAATGAATTTAAACTACACCTTGAAACAAATAAATGTAATCGATATATACAGAACACTCCATCCAACAACCACAGAATACACATTCTATTCAACAGTGCATGGAAATTTCTCCAAGATAGAACATATGATAGGCCACAAAACGAGCCTCAATAAATTTAAGAAAAATTAAATTATATCAAGCACTTTCTCAGACCACAGTGGAATAAAACTGGAAATCAATTCCAAAAGGAACCTTTGAAACTATGCAAATACATGGAAATAAAATAACCTGTTCCTGAGTTATCACTGGGTCAAAAACAAAATCAAGATGGAAATTTAAAAATTCTTCAAACTGAATGACAACAGTGACATAACCTATCAAATCCTCTGCAATACAACAAAGGCAGTGCTAAGAGGAAAGTATATATCCCTAAATACCTACATCAAAAAGACTGAAAGAGTACAAACTGACACTCTGAGGTTACACCTCAAGGAACTAGAGAAACAAGAACAAACCAAACCCAAACCCAGCAGAAGAAAAGAAGTAACCAAGATTAGAGCAAAACTAAATTGAAACCAAAAAAATACAAAAGATAAATAAAACAAAAAGCTGGTTCTTTGAAAAGATAAATAAAATTGATAAACCAATAGCAAGATTAACAAAGAAAAGAAGAGAGATATCCAAATAACCTCAACAAGAAACAAAACAGGAGATATTACAACTGACACCACAGAAATACAAAAGGTTATTTAAGACTACTATGAACACCTTCATGTACATAAACTAGAAAACCTAGAAGATATGGATAAATTTCTGAAAAAATACAACCCTCCTAGCTTAAATCAGGAAGGATTAGATACCCTGGACAGACCAATAACAAGCAGCAAGATTGAAATGGTAATTTAAAAATTACCAACAGAGAAAAGTCCAGGACCAGACAGATTCACAGCAGAATTCTACCAGACATTCAAAGACCAATTGGTACCAATCCTTTTGACACTATTTCACAAGTTAGAAAAAGAGGGAACCTGCCCTAATTCATTCTATGAAGCCAGTATCAACCTAATACCAAAACTAGGAAAGGACATAACCAAAAAAGAAAACTACAGACTGATATCCTTGATGAACATACATGTTAAAATCCTTAACAAAATACTAGCTAACTGAATCCAAAAGCATATCGAAAAGATAATCCACCATGATCAAGTGGCTTCATACCACGGATGCAAGGATGGTTTAACACATGCAAGTCAATAAATGTGATACATCACATAAATAGAATTAAAAACAAAAATCACATGATCATCTCAATAGATACAGAAAAAGCATTTGATGAAATCCAGCATCCCTTTATGTTTAAAACTCTGAGCAAAATCAGCATACAAGGGGCATACCTCAATGTAATAAAAGCCATCTATGACAAACCCAGAGCCAACATAATAGTGAATGGGGAAAAGTTGAAAGCATTCCCTCTGAGAACTAGAACAAGACAAGGATGCCCACTCTCACCATTCCTCTTCACCGTAGTACTGTAAGTCCTAGCCGAGCAATCAGACAACAGAAAGAAATAAAGGGCATCCAAATTAGCAAAGAAGAAGTCAAACTCTCACTGTTTGCTGATGATATGATTGCTTACCTTGAAAACCCTAAAGATTTCTCCAGAAGGCTCCAAGAACTGATACAATAATTCAGTAAAATTTCTGGATACAAGATTAATGTACAGTAATCAGTAGCTCTTCTATACACCAACAGCGACCAAGCAGAGAATCAAATCAAGAACTCAATCTCTTTTACAATAGTCGCAAAAAAAATAAAAAATACTTAGGAATATACCTAACCAAGGAGTTGAAAGACCTCTACAAGGAAAACTATAAAACACTGCTGAAAGAAATCATAGATGACACAAACAAATGGAAACACATCCCATGCTCAAGGATGGGTGGAATCAGTATTGTGAAAATGACCATACTACCAAAAGCAATCTACAAATTCAATGCAATCCCCATCAAAATACCAACATCATTCTTCACAGAATTAGAAAAAAAAGTCTGAAATCCATATTAAACCAAAAAAGAGCCCACATAGTCAAAGCAAGACTAAGCAAAAAGAAAAAATCTGGAGGCATCACACTACCTGATTTCAAACTATACTATAAGTCCATAGTCACAAAAACAGCATGGTATTGATATAAAAATAGGCACATAGAACAATGGAACAGCATAGAGAATTCAGAAATAAACCCAAATACTTACAGCCAACTGGTCTTCGACAAAGCAAACAAAAACACAACGTGGGGAAAGGACACCCTTTGCAACAAATGGTGATGGGAAAATTGGCTAGCCACATGTAAGATAATGAAACTGGATCCTCATCTCTCTCCTTACACAATAATCGCCTCAAGATGGATTAAGGACTTAAATCTAAGACCCAAAACTATAAAAATTCTAGAAGATAACCTTGGGAAAACCCTTCTACACATTGGTTTAGGCAAGGATTTCATGACCGAGAACCCAAAAGTAAATGCAATAAAAACAAAGATAAATAACTGGGACTTAATTAAACTAAAGAGATTTTGCATGGCAAAAGGAACAGTCAGTAGAGTAAACAGACAACCCACAGAGTGGGAGAAAATCTTCACAATCTATACATCTGACAAAGGACTAATAACAAGAATCTACAATGAACTCAAACAAATCAGAGAGGAAAAAACAAAAAATCCCATCGAAAAGTGGGCTAATGACATGAATAGTCAATTCTCAAAACAAGATATATAAATGGCCAACAAACATATAGAAAAAAGCTCA